TAGTAAATTTGTGGAATATACTAACTGAGGATCTAGTCAACTTGCCTGGTATCCACGTCTTCAAACTGGCTTTGGATAAGAGGTGGTTAGAACGTTTTCCGAACGAGGAGTACTGAATAGGATGCGAACGTTAGGTTCATAACTTTCTTTTCGTATGCAATATGGAACGCATTCGAATTAAAATTCTCTCTCCGACACGGCAAGAAGTAAGGTTCATCTTTCTCTCTGTTCGTAGATCGGCGATGAAGCCGATCATTTGAAGTTGTGGATGAACAGTCGTGAGCACACCACCGAAGGAATTCTGGACGCTTGATTGGCCTGTGGCCATTATCAGTCCTGTGCAACCTGAACTGACCTGAGCTGACCGGGTATTCATGTCGAGGGAAGACCGAGCAGCCCTGGCTGTCGTCACCGAAAGGGTACGACACAACGGAACCCAATCTGAAGTGCCGTTATTCTGACGAACGGGATCCAACCGACTGCCAGACAATCGAGAAATAGCCCTCTAAATGCTCAACTACCTAAAGGGTTGATTAAAGAGGAATGCACAGTTGAAGGAGGCCCAATGTAACGCCATGAAACGCAATCTAGAGTTGAAATATATCAAGCGTTCAATGAGAGAAGTCGAAAAGGAGCAACCATTGTGGTACCTTCCGCACCACTGTGTCATAAACCCTAATAAACCTCATAAGATCCGGGTTGTCTTCGATTGTGCTGCCAAGTGTGCAGGGATTGCTTTAAATGACCGTCTATTATAAGGCCCAGACCTGACTACTCCGCTGATTGAGGTGCTGTGCAGATTTCGTTTGGGGTTAGTTACGGTANCCGATATCAAGAGATGTTCATGCAGGTAAAAGTTCCCGAAGGGCCAAGGGATGCGCTACGGTTGTGGTGGTGGCCGGATGGAGACCTAGACGAACCTGTCCAAGAGTATCGGATGACGGTGCACCCGTTTGCTGCGATATCTTCTCCTTTCTCTGCAAACTTCGCGTTAAAAACGACCGTGAACAAATTTACTTAGCATTTCGAAACCCCGGTGGGCTCCTGTGTTGAACATAATTTTTATGTGGACGACTTCCTAGGATCCTTTGATAGCATCGAGGAAGCAGTTCAACTCATTAGGGATCTGTCCAAGTTACTGCTCGTGGGAGGGTTTGAGTTGACCAAATGGATGTTCAACAGTCGTCATGCAATCAATTGCGTCCAAAATGATGAGCGGGCGCCGAGTCTCCGTGAATTGCAGGGGAGCCCGTTACCAANTGATATCGAGGAGATGTTCATGCAGGTCAAAGTCCCCGAAGGGCAAAGGGGCACTATATGGTTGTGGTGGTGGCCGGATGGAGACCTAGACGGACCTGCCCAAGGGTATCGGATGACGGTGCACCCGTTTGGCGCAATATCTTCTCCCTTCTGTGCAAACTTCGCGTTAAAAACGACCGTGAACAAATTTGCTCAGCACTTTGAAACCCCGGTGGGCTCGTGTGTTGAACATAATTTTTATGTGGACGACTTCCTGGGATCCTTTGATAGCATCGAGGAAGCATTTCGACACATTAGGGATTTATCTAAGCTACTGCTCATGGGAGGGTTCAAGTTGAACAAGTGGATGTCCAACAGTCGTCATGCAATCGACTGCATCTCAGTTGATGAGCGGGCGCCGAGTCTCCGTGAAATGCAGGGGAGTCCGTTAACAACAGAGAGAACACTTGGTGTGCAATGGGACTCGGAGAAAGACGAATTCTTGTTCCAACTGCAACTAACTGAGACGACAGCGACTCGCAGAGGAATTCTGTCTTCGTTGGCCAGCCATTACGATCCAATGGGGTTCGTCGCACCGTGGCTACTGTCAGGCAAGATTCTGCTGCAAACCCTGTGTAGAAAAAAAGTTGCTTGTGATGAGACCCTATGCGAAGCGGATCACAAAACCTGGCAACGCTGGTGGCTGAGCCTATCCAAGCTGGGCGATATACGACTTTCACAAAAGAGCAAAGTGAGTGAACTGAACTGAAACTGAGTCACACATTTTTGCAGATGCGTCGGTGGTGGGATACGGGGTTATGGCCTACGGTTGCTCGTCTTGACCAGGAGAAAGGAGGCATATCAGTATTCTGTTCGCAAAGGCCAGGGTCGCCTCTCTAAAGACGGTCTCAATACCCAGGCTAGAACTGGCCGCAGCAGTATTAGCCGTGAGGATAGCGAAGGTGCTCAAAAGATGTTTTAACTCGATTAAATGGACTGCAACCTACTGGACCGACTCCGCTATAGTTATAATAATAATAATGGTATATTTCCCGAAGCCCGTTAGGCATGCTAGCGCGCATGATCTTCAATATGTAAGCAATGTACGAACGCGCTTCATCTTATTTGTTGCTAACAGGTTGGCTGTCATTCACGAAGAAACGGAGGAGGGTTAATGGCGGCACATAAAATTCTGTGACAATCCAGCCAATTACTGCTCCAGGGGTGTGCTGAACTTGGAGAAAATAAAATCATGGTTACATGGACCGGCTTTCTTGACAGACCAGCCCAGAAAATGGCCCGACACTCAGATTTGCCCTGTCGCAACAGAGTTACTAGAGACTAAGAGGACCGTTACGTTAGTCGCTGCTTCAACCAACATCTTACTACAGAAACTGCATCGTTTTTCACGATGGATGAAGGTGCTGAGGGTGGTTGTCTGGTGGACCAGATTCAAACGACAACCCGCCATTCTGAGAGGACTCTGACCTGATGACAACTTGAATATTGGGCCCATCGTTCTAACTGCATTGAAAACAACAGAAGCTGATGTTGTTCACATAAATCAATTACAAGTCTTCCCGTCGGAGCTTCAGAGGTTAGGTAAGGGGAATCGTGACTCCGACCGACGCGCATTACGTTGCAGTTGTCTTCGAAAACTCTGTCCATTATTGGTAGATGGTTTGCTGAGTAGGCGGAAGATTGACAAACTCTGAGTTGGACTTTGACGCTAAACATTCCATCATCTTGCCCAGCAACCACCACATCACTCATACACTCATCATACATATTCACATGCAGGAAGGTCATGCTGGGGAAAATCACGTACTCAATACGATTCGCCGTCGGTTTTGGATAGTGAAAGGGAGAGCTACAGCAAAGCGCATCGTGGGCAACTGCCTCTTTTGTCGTCGGTAGAATGCTCAATTCAGCGCACAACTGATGGCCTCGTTACCAAGTTCCCAGGTACGACCAGGTTGGTGGCCCTTCGCCGAAACTGGGGTGGACTACTTCGGGCCACTATGGGTGAAACGAAAGACGTCGATGGAGGAACGATACGGATACCTGATGACCTGCCTGCAGTCACGAGCTCTGCATATAGAGACCGTACACAGCATGTCGACCGACTGCTTGCTTATGGCCTAGCAGAGATTCGTTGGTAGACGTAGTAATCCATCGAATGTGTTCTCCGACAACGGATCCAATTTCGTCGGTGCACAAAAGGAGTTGAGCAACTCGTTGATGCGGTTAGAAAACTGCGACCTGCAAGACCGACTGTCGCCATCTGGAACCCAATAGCGCTTCAATCCACCCTACAGCAGTCACTGCGGGGTTGTTGAGGAACGCCTCATAAGGTTGGTACGAAAAGTATTGACGGCGTTATGTGAACAACAAGCGCCGGATGATGAAACTTTGAGTACATTTCTGGTAGAGGCCGAAAGGATACTCAACAACCGATCGCTTGTACCCGTCACCAGGAGTCACCTTCAAAAGCTGGCGCTAACTTCGAGTGACCTGCTATTAAGGTCCAATGATGGTTTCGATATGCCAAAAGCTATTAGTGGCTGCTATACCCCGGGTTGGAAGCATGCAAACTACCTGGCAGGGGATTTTTGGAAGCGCTGGACAAGAGAGTACCTGCCAACGCTTCCAGCTCAGCAGAAGTGGCTGCATAGAGAACGGCCGTTGAAGGTTGGAGATGTTGTTCTTATGGTTGACGAAACGCTACAACGCGACAAATGGCCACAAAATGTAATCATAGAAAGCCACATGAACTCAGATGGACTAGTAAGAACAGTGAAATTAAAAACATCTGCCGGTGAATAAGCGCGCAATATTCGACGAGTGTGTTCATTGAAGGGAGACGACTACCATGCCGTTACTTTTTTGGAGTTGCGTAGACCCGCCATGTATTATGTTGACTTACCTGCCCCTTGTAACAATTACGCCCGAGTGCTATTCACCCTACTTGTATGAGCACGTGCTTCCACGTCCTTGCCATATGCGCTCTCTATTTTATTCCGTGACTGAGTTTCTTTTTATTTGATTTATACACAATTTATGACATTAACCTCGAAGGTGTGACCCATGTCATCACAACATTGATCCATTTACATACACACAAACACCCGCATGCCGAACATGATTTCAGTTGTAAACTTGGACATTATTTACATCGCCCACACACCCCCCTCCTTGTTTACACATCGAAACTTTATTTGTAATGATATTCATCTGACCCACTGCTATCAAGAGACATTTAAGAGTGTCAAAGTGCTTTCGGGTCTAAAGTTCCAAAACATATTCTCGTTTTTTCCCGTAAGGGGCACGAGGGGGCATGAACTTAGATTGGAAAGAAGTCATTGTAGACTAAATTTGCGAGGTAGGTTCTTCACAAAGAGAGTTATACCACTGTGGAATAAATTACCTGAAGCAGTGGTTAACTGTATTAATGTCGAATCTTTCAAGAGAAGGCTAGATGAATGCTGGGCAGTGGTATTTCCCGAAGTTGAGTGTTGAAAGTGAATTGTTAGGCTTTACTTTCCGAAACATTAAAGGGATCTGATACTGCACACTAACATTCTGCCTTTCAGAAACTACCATTGATTCGAAGTGTTGGAACCCAACAAAACCGCCGACAACACAAGGAACTGGACGCGCGATTGGCAAGAGCCACAATCCGTCCTGTGAGAACTGAACTGAACCTATGCGTCTTGACAACACGGTAATCAACACCTCTCCAGTGATTCAAAACTGGATAATCTAATGACAGAGCGAAGCACTATTAATTTTAAAGACGAAAGTTATTAAACTAAAGGGTGGGTTGGTGGAGGAGAAGGTAGTTTTTGTGGGTCTCTCTCTTTATCTCGAAGACAGTAAAATGAACCTCAAGTTATCAGACCAAATAACCTAAAACACCGCCAATAAGCTGTCTGAGACAGAGAAATGCAGGAAACGCATTATATTCTGGGTACGGTTCCAGGAGAATCACCCCCAGCTCATGGGGCCAGGATAATCCTGGATAGCCTCAAACAACTGGAGATCCTAAGCACAATCAGTTGTTCATATCTTCGAACAAAAACCAAGAAAACGATCACAGGTATCGTGATCGAGTTCAGCCAGAGCGCAACAGTGTGACACCGTCTTGCTCAGGCAAATATAATCAAGAGATGTAAGTATGTCACAGGCTACACCTGTGACATTCTTCTCCATGTCAGAAAATGTGACATAATGCCTGGTGGCCTAAAAATAGATGAGAAACTGCGAATGCGTACCACATTCAATCCCACGCGTCTGAATATTGAGAATGTACCACAAATCTCCTCTTCCAAAAAGGACAAGAATATAGGATTCGCCCGACTAGTCACCAGCAGTTCCGACACAAGCTTCGTCGACATAACCACGGATGAACCAACCATAGGCGGGACCCTCGACCGTAAGTTATTATCACCTACGAAACCATCCCACGCTCCAGAAAAGAAGACCAAAGGCCCAATCAATGTGCCCACCATTCGACTAATAGCTGGGATGAAAGGGATACTTGGTATTCCACCACCTAAGGCAATCCCCTCAACTCCTACCCCGGCCCACCCCAAATCTTATTTCTCCAAAGCTAAAAACCTAAGAAACAATATTTCTGCGCCAAAACCCGAAATGTTGGCAAGCGTCGCCAGGTTGTTCCCAGAGCGAACGCCAGGACAGGACTGTAAGAAAAGCAACACGCGCCAACTCCCTTTTCTGTCCCCAGTAGACCTCTCTCGCCCACCAGACAGAGTGAAACCCCGAAAATCTGGCAAGTTAATCTCGCCAGCACGCAACATGGATACCAAACACATGGTACTATTCTCCAAGAAGCTCTCACGGGTACCACGACCCCTCTAGAACAA